TATATTAGTAGTAGTATTATCTTAAGGTGCCAAAAAGAATAAGTGCGCTCCTTAGTTCTGAATAATGATGATCATAATATGCGTGCGTAAAGGCCGGGCGATCGCGGGCGTTCGCGGGCGCCCGTGCCCGTTTTCAGCGTTTTGCCGACCCCTGTGTTAGTATATGCTGTTATATTAGCTCCTCCCGTTGCTACGGGTAACACCGTGAGCGCGCGAAGCGCTACGCGCGTAAGACAGCTCGATGCAGTGTTGCAAACTCTGGCTAGCACCGAGAGCATCGAAGTGATGGGAGCCACTGGGAGCACGCCACGCGCTCGGCACGTCGGCTCGTGGAAGAGTGCAGACGTATTATGTTCCATCTCTTTTTCACTTCAAGCCTTTGACAAGATGAAAGACGAGGCATGTTCACGTTACGTTGCGCCCTTGTTGCGTATAAAAACGTGAAACGCTTTTCCGAGATTAATAATCTTGGAAACAGTGCATGATATTATTGATAATGATAAAAAAAAAACTTTTACCGCACGTTCACTCATATTAATAATTAATACAAATATATAATGCATATTAAGATGTTTTATCATTATCAATAATATCATGCACTGTTTCCAAGATTTTTAATCTCGGAAAAGTGTTTCACGTTGTCATACGCAACAAGCGCGCAACGTAACGTGAACATGCCTCGTCTTTCATCTTGTCGAGCCGGCTTGAAGTGGAAAAGAGACGGAACATAATACGTCTGCACTTTTCCACAAGCCGACGTGCCGAGCGTGACGTCACGCACACGGACGGCGATTCTCGCTTGTATGCGTGCTCCCAGTGGCTCCCACATGGCTCCCACCACCTCGGTGCTCTCGGTGCTAGCCGGCCAGAGTTTGCAACACTGGCTCGATGCATGTTTATTCGCGGATTTTTGTTAATTAAAATCTCGATAACTATTGCAAATCTCGCAAAATGGTAATAAATAGGACTTTCGACTCAGTTTTACTCCTTCTACCTACAAGAGATGCTAAAGTAATTGTCAGACACCTTGTATATACGTGAAATTTTGATAAATATTTGCTTACCGCATTACTTCATCCTCAGTAGATATTCTTGCGACGTTTGCAATTTCAAACACTTTTTGTAAAAGTGCGTTTTTGTTTCCAGAATATGATATTTTTGCTAAGTGCTCGTTCATTCCTTTTAATTTTGCTCTTTCTGCATTAAACATACCTTCGGGCAAAGTCACAGATCTTATTATTTCTCCGATTGGTGGTTTTATACTGACCGGACATGAATATTTCTCGTCGTTAATCACAAAATCAATATTAAAATTTGCTGATTGTGTAGAATCGTTAAAATTAACGCCTAATGTAGAAGAGAATATTGCATTTATATCAAGCACTGTTATTTGTGGAAAATTGAGAATAAACATCTCCTTTTGCAAAATCTAAAACAATATAAAACAATATATCATATATTCGTTTTGTATATAAAAAAAAGAAAAAATGATTATAATATTAATATAATAATATCTGAAAAATTTTTGATATATACCTCATTTCCTATCTGGATTTCTTTAATGGCATAGTTACTCTCGTTAGAAAATGTTAATTCGATACTAACCAAATTCGAACTAACTAAATGCTGCGATCGCGTAAATCTGTATTCAATTTTTAAACCATGTCCTACTATACTGTTCAATAAAATAGTCTTTTTTAATGGAACATATGATGTTGAAACTTCTCGGACATTATCCGTGATTGTTTGATTACCAGGGGTAAAAAAACCACCTAAACTAGGTGTCATCACAGGAGTTATTGGAACAACTGTAAAAAAAGACATGTAATAAACGTATTCCTAAAAATAGAACAACTTTGTTTCTCTCTCTCTCTCTCTCGCGCGCGCGCGCGCGCGCGCGTGTTCATACACATGCGCACGCACGCACGCACGCACGCACAAAATGAATCGTGTAACCCCAAAATACGTAACGCAAAACGCTTTCTGTGAAACTATTAATGTTTATTTTTGACCAAGTTGAATCGATCCCGGAGCTATTGATGAAATGAATATCGAATTGCTTTCGGAACAATGAATGACTTTATTTCAGTAAATATAAGCAGTCGATTTGCCAAATTGACGTTACTTTACTTGACAAATCGACTAATCATATTTACTGAAATAAAGTCATTCATTATTCCGAAAGCAATTCAATATCATTCAAAAACGCTATAGTAAAATAGGAATTTCTGTTTTCTGTAACATAAATGAAACATAGTAATAAATATTATCAATGTCGAAATTTTGGTTTGTTTTTAAGATCATATTTTTCATTATCCCAAATAGGATAGCAAACATTTCAAGCAACTTCGCGACCACTACTATAAATAGCGAAGTCTTTTGATTCAATTTGGGACCAAGATGTTTTTTGACTCAACGTTTTATTTCCTTTACTTGTTCCAAGTTGCATAACACTGTATTGCACATGTACCCAGCAAACAATTTTTGACTGCGCAGACCTTGGCAACAGAAACTGTGTGTAGAAACGCTACAGTACGGAAACATGCTTTGGTGCTGCCAAAACTGTTAGCACATAGAGACAAAAAACGCAACAACTCTGTTGGCACATACATGAGACTATTGCGGCCAAAATGATTCCATATATGTTAGTGAAATTGATAACAAATAGATGGTTGATAGCAAGCAGATCTGCTTTAGCAATACTGTGACCAAACAGTCCGCAAAACCGTATGAGCATCTGTTTATGACAAAACGTTGAC